TCCAACTCAATGTAGAGATTCACTGCAATCCTAATCAAAATTCCAGAAAGTTATTTTATAGATAGCAGTAAATTGAATTAGCTGGATGTGGTAGCTCATGTAATCCCAGCACTTTGGGAGATCAAGGTGGGAAGACTGCTTGAGCCCAGGACTTTGAGATCTGGGCAACATAGTGAGACCCTGTCTCTACAAAATTAGCTAAGTGTAGTGGTATGTGCCTGTAGTCCCAGCTATTTGAGAGGCTGAGGTGGGAGGATAGCTTAAGCTCAGGAAGATTGAGGCTGCAGTGAGCTGTAATTGCACCCACTGCACTCCAGTCTTGGCAACAGAGTGCACCTCTGTCTCCACAACAGCAGCAAACCAAACTGAATCTAAACTTTATAGGAATAGGCAAAAGACCCAGAACAAAGTCAGGAGGGCTGATACTACCTGACTTCAAGACTTATTGTAAAGCACCATAATTAAGACACTGTGGTACTGCCTAAAGAATAGACAGATCAATGGAACAGAATACAGAGCCCAGAAATAAACCCACATAAATATAATCAGCTTGCTTATCTTTGACAAAGAAGTAAAGGCAATACAATAAAAAATAAAGACAGTCTTTTCAACAAATGGTTCTGGAACAACTGGACATTCACGTGCAAAAAAGTGAACCTAGACACAGAACCTACACTCTTGAAAAAAGTAACCCCAAAAGGGTAATAGACCTAAATGTAAAATGCAAACTATAAAACTCCTAGAAGATAACATAGGAGAAAATCTAGATGACCTTGGGTTTGGCCATGACATTTTAGATAAGCCCCAGCAGCACCTTGCACTCTTGTTTACATCCCAATGTCAGTCCTGGTAATACTAGCATTGAAGAACTGGCAGGTGCAGCCCATGCCTCACTTGTGAGTCCTACCTATGGGATCCCATTTCCACCTTTTGCCCTAGTCCCAGCAGTAACAGCTCAATTTCTCCTAACACCTCAGTCCTGGTACTGTTAGGCCCCAGGACAGAATGCAGTCTGCCAATGGCTAGGATTGAAAATGGTGCATCACGTAGCTGCTTACGGCTCAGAAAGGGTGTGTGATGCAGTGCAAGCTCAATCCCTGGAACAGTTCCCTCTCCTGGTCTTCTGGCAACTCCCTATGTTAGTTTCAGGGTTTGTCAAGGTCAAGGGCTCTCTGGTTGCCAGGCATGCATGATTCCAGATGTTTCACAGTTTATTTATTTGCTCACCTACTCATGGGAATGTTGGTTACTTCAAAGTTTTTGCAATTATGAATAAAGTGGCTGTAAATATCTGTGTGCACTTTGGGAGGCTGAGGCAGGTGAATCACTTGAGCTCAGGAGTTTGAGACCAGCCTGGGCAACATGGTGAGACTCCCCCATATCTCGACTAAAAATATAAGAAAAATAGCCAGCTGAGTGTGCTGGTATGCACCTGTGGTCCCAGCTACTTGGGAGGCTGAGATGGAAGGATCACTTGATTCCAGGGATGGGCAGGGTGGAGGTTGCAGTAAACCAAAAACACACCCCTTATGTAGGGATGAGGGCTGCTAGAAGTATCTCACTTGCCCTTGGGAAGTCACTTGCTGTCTCCTAGCCAATCCTAGACAGGTGGCCTGCTTCTCTTCTTTCTCCTTCCTTTCTTTCAGTGTTTTCTATCACTTTCCTGTTGAATCTCAGCGTTCTATCTTGGATAAAGTATCTGAAGTATGACTGTCTATACACTCTTTTGGTTCTTCTAAGTGGAGGAGGTGAGCATATGCATATGAAATGCTTCTAGCCAGCCTTTTTTTTTTTTAAAGACTAGCTCTGTCACCTAGGCTGGAAAGGGGTGTGTTTTGGTTTACTGCAACCTTCACCCTGCCCATCCCTGGAATCAAGTGATCCTTCCATCTCAGCCTCCCAAGTAGCTGGGACCACAGGCGCATAACAGCACACTCAGCTGGCTATTTTTCTTATATTTTTAGTCGAGATATGGGGGAGTCTCACCATGTTGCCCAGGCTGGTCTCAAACTCCTGAGCTCAAGTGATTCACCTGCCTCAGCCTCCCAAAGTGCTGGGAATACAGGCGTGAGCCACCGTGCCCAGCCCTAGTCAGCCATCTTGAAGCCCCTTTTGTTTCTTGCAAAAAAAACCATATTCTTAGTATTCAATACAGCAGTTGTGCTCCTTGGTATTTATCCAAAGGAGTTGAAACCTTATGTACACATAAAAACTTGCACAGAGATATTTACAGCCACTTTATTCATAATTGCAAAAACTTTGAAGTAACCAACATTCCCATGAGTAGGTGAGCAAATAAATAAACTGTGAAACATCTGGACAATGAAATATTTTTCGGTGGTTAAAAAAAAAAAAAGCTATCAAGCCATGAAAAAACATGGAATAAATTTAAATGCATAATACTAAGTGAAAGAAGCCAATCTGAAAAGATGGCATACTGCATGATTTCAACTATGTGACATTCTGGAAAAGATAAATCTTGATTAGTGGTTGCCAGGGGTTAACGGGGAGGAAGGATGAATAGGCAGAGACCAGAGGGTTTTAGGCAGTGAAACTATTTTGTATGATACATGATAGTGGATATATGTCCTTATACATTTGTCAAAACCCATAGAACGTAAAACACCAAGAGTAAACCCAAATGCAAACTATGGACATGGGTGATAATAATGAGTCAATGTAAATTCATCAATTGTAAGACAGGTACCCCTCTGGTGGAGGATGTTGATGGAGGAGAACGTGTGGCGGGGACGGCAGCGAGTATACAGGAAATCTCTGTATCTACCACTCAATTTTGCTGTGAATACTGCTCTAAAAAATAAAAGTCTACTAAAAAATTTCAAAGAACAACAAAAAGAGCTCTTGATAACAAAATCAAAATCTCCGACCATGGGGAAGAGTATAAGCATTTCCTAAATGTATGTAACTAAATTTCCTAAATCTATGTAAAATCCTTTTATGTAGAGCATTTTGCATGTCTGGTGTTTCTACAAAACACACTTTGGAAAATACCACCGGAGTACTAAATAATTATAATTTAAAAAGCAAGATGGCAGAAATGAGAAACTCAATACAAAATTTGGAGATATAGTTGAGGAAAACTTGATAGTTGAGCAAACAGCAAAGAATAGGGATAAGAAAAGAGATATGAATATTACAGAACCAGTTCAAGAGAGTCAACAACTGAATAACAGGTATAACAAGAGTGAATAGAGAAAAAGAAGTGAAAGAAAATAATTGATTAAAGAATTTTTGTTTTTTGAGATTCTGTCACCCAGGCTGGAGTGCAATGGTACTATCTTGGTTCACTGCAACCTCCACCTCAACCTGTTGAGCAACAAAGGAAAAGTAATCATAGTACACTACATGGTTCAATTGAGAATAGTATTTAACTAGTTATAATAACAAAACACTAAATTTTGATCTAATCAAAATTATAATATCATGGAACTGGGGTAGGGAAATATGTGTGGGTGGATAAGGGGCAAGGAGATTAAGAAGAGTTAAATTCTCATCTTCTAAAGTGGGTAGTCAGTACAAAAACAACTAAACTAAAAAAGACAGCAATATACATGCTATTTAGATACAGAGGTAAATAAAAAATCAGTTAAATTGAAAGTGGTAGCCTCTGGGGAATAGTAATTGACGGGGATAAGAGGTGTGTTTGTTTTGTTTTTGTAATAAGTTGTGTAGACCCTTCATTCCTTTGAACTATGAATGTGTATAACTGATAAAAACCAAAATACCTTTTAAAAAGTTCTCTACATTAAAAAAAAGGTAGGTAATAAAAGATAATGTAATGTGGCACATCACATTCAGTCTGTGATAGCCTTTATTGTTAACAATTGAAGGGACTCTAAAGGTTATTTGGACTAGTCCTATCATTGTATAGATTATAAACTGAGGTTCAAATTGAAAAGTAATATCAAGGTCACACAAAATGAATCAAGTCCCATTCAAGAGATTGCTACACAAAGATCAGTGAAGACTATTATAGCTTGACCATGCCAGGTTCTGTCATCTTCTCTAGGTTATTGGAAAGGAAACGACAGCTGAGCCTTCTCTTCAGGCTTCTACATTCTAGGATTTGATCCGAGACATATTCAACTCCTTCTAAGAGAAAGACAACCCTAACTTCCATGGGGATCATACCAATTGCTTAGACTTCTTAGAAGAAGATGGAGTGTCTGCTGAGTAACAAAATAGGGTTTCACATATTTCTCTTAATTTACACATTAAAAAATGAGTATTGTTTTTATAGTTACCCCCTTGGAAGGCTGTGTATCTAGGCATAGTTCTTTTAGTTACTGTCACAGTTTACGAAATAGGAATGGATATGCATAACCCAGGCTAATCACCCACCCATTTCATCCACCAGATTTGGCAATGAGTCAACCACTCATTGGTTGAATCTCTAAAATCAAGTTTACCTTCACTGTACCAAAGTTTGCCACCATCAATGATTGTTTAAAAAAAAATCAGAGAAACTTCATACGTATTTGAAGGGTGGCACCATTACTGGAATGCTGAGAGGATTCTGGAAGGTGGAAGGGATCACTCAAGGGAACACCCCTAACTGGGAAGGAAGGGTATTATTCTTTTTTTTTTAATTGCATTTTAGGTTTTGGGTACATGTGAAGAACATGCAACATTGTTGCATAGGTACACACATGGCAGTGTGATTTGCTGCCTTCCTCCCCATTACCTATATCTGGAATTTCTCCTCATGCTATCTCTCCCGAACTCCCCACCCCTGGAAGGGTATTATTCTAAACTAGGCCAGGGAGCTCTTGGTGTTGTCCCTGCCTTAGTTTCCCATCCTTGAATTCACAGAAAACGTACCCAAGTTTTATTGTCTCTCTGACATTATTTTAAATGCCAAAGATAGATTTTGCCTAGGTTTACAAATGGAAAGGTGCTAATTACTGGTGTAAGACAAGAGAAAGTGCAGACACTAGGTCTGGGGCTTGTGAGCAGGTAGTCCTGTTATCTGCTCTTACCTGTGGGGGCATGCATGGCTGAGCTGGGGATGGTGGCAGCGTCTTGGGGTACAGTGCTGGTATCTGGTTCAGGAGTGCTGGTTGTTGGTGAGGTGGGTGGTGGATTCAGCAAAGTCCGAGGTTTCCTCTGTCAAAATGAATGGGAAAAAATTTGCTACCCATGACAGGTCTTTTCATTCTCTATTCTCGGCACTTAATTCACTCATGAAGCAAAAATATATTTATGGATGGAATAGCATTTTATCTTTGTTTTCTATACAGCATCTGGCTTAAAGCTATGCATATATCTATAGAAGATACTTAGCAGACATTTTCTGAATCTAGGTACAAGATTCTGGTCTTTCATAAGGTCAAAGCTTAATGTATTAACTTTTACATAAGATTCAATATTATCATATTTAGTTCCAGTTCCCTTTTTAGTTGGGAAGACAAAAGCAAAATATGCTATGGTTTAAGTCTGGTTTCACATTATTTTGTACTTTATTTCTCTCTCTTTAAAAATGGAAACAAACAAACAAGAAAACAGAAATGACTCTTCTAATTCTATAAACGTCTTTACTCTGTCTGCCTCTCTCTTCACCTCATTACCTGCCATTCCTTCCTTTAAACCTCTTACTCTAGTGAATCTCTAACTATATTGCTTCTTCAAGAATCCTGCAATTTTACCTGGTTCACACCTTTACAATGATAAGATGTCACTTCCACTTGAAATGCTCTTTCTTTTTAAATTTATTTTACAAATTTGTTTATCTAGGAAGCTTTTCTAGCTTTTCTCTAATCATTGTCTCTTTTATGTTACCTCTGTTTTTTTGAACTGTTGCATTTTTCAATGTATTGTCATTATATGTTTACATACCAGTATCCCTATTTACCTGGAACTCTTTGAAAGTCTGGTTCTAAGTACCATTGTTAGCATGGTACTTAGCATAAAAAAAGTGTAAACAAATGTATTTATTATTATTATTTTTTATGAAGCATGCAGTATAGATCACCAATAATAGAGGAAATAATAAAGATGATTTGACAGAAATCTAATATTTCCCCCATGTTGTTCAGGGCAGTCTTTAGGGGAGAAAGATCACAGAAGGTTTTTTCCCCAAGAAACAGTTTTCTAAAAGCTTTTTTTTTCGTTTTTGAGACAAAGTCTTGCTCTGTTGCCCAGGCTGGAGTGCAATGGCATGGTCTGGCCCACCGCAACCTCTGCCTCTAAGGCTTTCAAGCAATTCTCCCACCTCAGCCTCCTCAATAGCTGGGACTACAGGTATGTGCCAGCATGCATGGCTTACTTTTAAATATTTTGTAGAGATCAGGTCTCACTATATTGCAAAGGCTGGTCTCAAATTTCTCCTGCTCAAGCGATCCTCCTACCTTGGCCTCCCAAAGTATTAGGATTACAGGCATAAGCCACCATGCCTGGCTAAAAGCCTTTCTGAATGCAAGGAAAACATAACAATCACGGAGATCCAGAAATTCATTTTTACTAAATGCTTTATGTAGGTACAACTGCTGGGAGCCATATCAACCTGTCTGCCTTCTAGGAGTATGTTCTCTAAAGAGATAGACTTGATGACAGCAGGCATATGTAAGACAGCCTTGCCTGTGAAAGCAATCATGCAAACTCTCATGAACCATTCAAAACACACATTGAAAGTGAACCTGCTTATGCTTTTTGTTATTGCTAAAAGTGAAAATACAAATAAGTAATGAATGAGTCAGGGAAGAAGGGAAATAACACTTCAACTTCAGTAAGCTGGTGGTAGGATTTCATGGGGTCCCTAAAGGAACAAGCCTGGTAGGTTAGGTGCCTGAATAATGTAAACCTATTTGAGATAGGTACATTTACAATATTATATGTATTCATACATTATCTCATTTTCATTTTAGAGGTAAGAAAATGGGCTCAAGGTCTTACCCAGAGAAGCCTTCCCAAAGTCACACAGGTGGCAACCTGTGAAGACGTGTTAACCTAAGTTTGTCTGACTTTAAAGCTTATGCATTATCCATAAGACTACTCTGCTTCAAAAAGAGAAATAAAGCCAGCCATAGTATGGTGGCTCATGCTTGCAATCCCAGCACTATGGGAGGTCTAAGTGGGAAAACTGCTTGAGCCCAGGAGTTTGAGACCAGCCTGGGCGACACAGCAAGGCCCCATCTCTACAAAAAATTAACAAAAATTAGCTGGGTGTGGTGGTACATGCCTGTAGTCCCTGCTACTTGGGAGGCTGAGGTGGGAGGATCGCTTGAGCCCAGAAGGTCAAGGCTGCAGTGAGCAATGACTGTGCCACTGCACTCAGCCTGGGTGACAGAGTGAGACCACACCTCAAAAATCAAAGCAAAACAAAACAAACAAAAAGGGATATAAGGCACACAGCTGAAGTGGAAGGCATATTCACTTGTAGGGGTAGGCAAAAGAACAGCAAGGAGAATTAAAAGTATCAAATGCTAGGACATAAAATACAGGAAAAGATGAGAATGACTGTTTTCAAGATGGTTGGAAAGAAAAAGGACCTTGGTTACTATGTTAAAAACTTCCTGAGAGAGCAGAGCAGAGGCAATCACAGTTATCAGTTTTTCAGTTTTCAATTATCTTAAAGGCCACTTAACCCAACTATCTACCCAATTCCCTCTCCCTAAAAGATCCCATCCACAGAGCCATCCAGTCCCTGATGAAACACCTCTAGTTATAGCGGCTCGTTACTTCTATTTTGGGATAGATTTAACTGTTCCTTTTATGTTGAGACAAAGCTTGTCTGCTTGAGTTTCCGTTTATCAGTTCTGGTTCTATCTTTGGAACCCCTCCCAGATGGGTTTTCTCCCTTTTCTGACTGTCCTCAAGATGTCTTCACATCATCAAAAGCATGGCTTCTCTGGCCTTGGCATCCTTAGGGCCTTCAGTCGCTTCTCTAGAACAGGAGAATGAGAGGTGGGTAATGAAGGCAAAAATGAATCAAGACCTGGGTTAGTGATTAGTGGTAATAGATGATGAGGAGCATTATGTGTTACACAGAAAGATCAGGAAGTGATATTGAGAATTTGAAGTAAAAAATAAGAGACAACTGAGATTGGTAACATCATCACTAAAATCATCCATCCATGAGGCCACCCACCCAGCCTCCTGTCCATCTTGCATATTCTGAATATTTCCCAAGAGACTGACTGAGATATAAGGTACCGCAGGAGAAAAAAAAGAGAAATATTAGGTGTTTGACCTTGAGGAACTTATATTCTACAAGGGCTGAAGTCAGTGGGAGCTAATAAACAAGCAAAACAAACAGCAAACAAACTAACTCTAGGGAGGAATTAACGAGACTGGAATGGAATGCTCAGGGAGAATCGGTTATCATTTCCATTCTGGAATTCAGGTATTCTAGCTCAGGGAGAAGATTCAGAGATATCTCCTGACAGTTAAGAAATGAGTAGAGGGGATGATGCTAAAAGGGGCCCTAGAGAAGCTGCTGAGAGAAGCCTTTTTTTTCTTTTCATATCAATGCCTTTGCTAGGAAAGATACCCATGGAAAACAGGCCATGACTAAGAGGTGGTACTTTCAATAACAGTGCTCAGTGAAGCTGACTCAGCTGTCTTTTCCAATACTAGAAGTGTTGTGTCCCTCAGGAAATGTGGGAAAGAGTGAAAGAGTGAATATATGCTAGGAAACAGTGACCTTGGAAGTAGATAAGGGACCAATCTCTGTAGCTTTTGCAATTTACTAGCTATGTGATCTTAGAAAATCATTTTATAGCTGTAAGTCTCAATTTACTATAAAATAACATTAACATTATCTCCTAGGGATTTGTGAAAATTATGGGATATGTACATATTGGCATCTAATACAGAGTCTGACACTTAGTATTCAATTTTTTTTTTAAAGGGGTAGAGATAACACAAAATATATTTACATTCAGCCTGGAAAAGCTGATTAAAAGAAAAAAAAACATTTACAGAGTTAATTTTTGCTTTCTGTTCACATGCTGGGCATCTACTTTGGAAAGGTTAACAATGAGCAGTTTTTTCCATGTACATTAGACCAGAATCTCCTTGAATATGAGTAACTTGCAAAGTTAAAATTTGTTTCCCATCCTCCACCATCCTATCTTTAATATTACCAACTCTCAGATAAGTAGCAAGTAGGGATGACGATCTAGGAAATTCCTCTTATAAACATACACAAGATGGAGAAAAGGGACAGATATGCCCCTTTCCAAGAGAGATGGGTATGGATGAATGACCCCTTTATAATCCCTTATCCCTTTCTGGGAAACCCACATTTTACCTACCTTGCTGCCAGGTTTGGGACCCCTCTTCTTTGGGAATTTCAAATCAGCTGTCTTGGGTGGGGCAGAGATGGGATGGGAAATTAGGGTCTTGGATGTCCGGCCCCGCTTCTTTCCTGGTTTACGCCCCCTCTGCCCTGGTTGATGTTCCAAGACAGTTTTGGTGCTGCTGTGGATGCTGGGCTTCTCAGTATTCACATCAGACGCAGGATAGGGATTCTTTGGAATCACAACTGCAAGAAAAAGACTCATTCTATCACCCTCTCTGCCCCCTGCATTCTCATCCTAGCCAGAAGTAAAAAAGGACTTGCCACTTCTGCTCAGGTAGTTTCATTTCAAGAAACTGATTTCCTGGCATTTGACCTCAATGTTTAGGAAATCTCTGAAGAAAATTGAATTTAGATTGGCTAGAAGTGGAGGTTTTAAATTATTCCTGGCAGATGCAGAAAAAAATATTAAATTTTTCTTCCCCAGGTATCTTAGACAAGTATTGTGACTGAAGTCAGAGTTGAAGTATATGAATATTAATAGAATCATAGGCTCAGAGTTGAAAAGGCTTTTAGAAACCTATAATTCTCTCCCCTTAAGAATGAAGGTCTGAGGCTCAGAAAAGGACACAATGCCCTTCCCAGGTTACATAGTGAGTTGGGATAAGAAATTCTGTTTTGAAACTGAGCCCTGATAACTATGCCAGGGATTTTCTACATCAATCTACTTGAATTTTTAGTTTGACTACTTGCAGTGAGGAGTAGAGGAACACATGGAAATATAAATCTGATAGCATCTCTCTTTAAAAACCTTTGCTCCTTATTATCTTTCAGGTAAGGTCTAAATTCTTTATCCTGATGTCTAAGGACTTTTGTTACGTTGCCTATCTTGCTCTCCCATTATGACTGATGTCACTTCCTATCATCCAACCCCATGTTTTAGTAGCCCCGTATGTTGAGCTCTCTATTATTCTTTGTGAGACCACATATCAATACTTGGTTTTCAACACTTGATCCAGGGCCACCTCCTTACTAAGGCTTTCTCTGACCATGTCCCAACTAAGTCAGTGCCCTCTCTTTACTTCCAAAGCATTCTGTAGAAACCTATGTTATAGTACTTCTTAATTTTACTCCAATTATTCATTTTTTCCTTAAACTGAGAATTTTTTAAGGTAAGGGACATCTAATTCATTTTACAAATAGTTATTGAGTGCTCACTATAAGTTATACACTGTGCTAAGCCCTGGGGATAGAACAGTGGACAAAACAGACATCGTTTCCAGTCTCATGGAACTTACCTCCTTGTGAGAGAGAGTGAATATTTAAAAATAAGACAATATACAATATAATGTCAGGTAGTGCTAAGTGCTATGATTAAAACTAATGCAGGTTAAGAAAACAGAATTTTAAGGGAAGTCCTCTTTGAGGAGATGACATTTACACAGAACTCCCTAAAGAGGTAAAGACATAAGCTTTATGAAGATGTGAGAAGGTATAATCAGTGCAAAGATTCTGAACGTGTTAGTGTGTTTGAGAAATGGAAAGGAGGTCAGTAGAGCTTTAATTGAGTGAACAAAGGGGAAGGTAGAGAGAAATTAGGTTAGAGAGGGAGTAACAGTAATATTGTGTAGGGCTGCAGACTGTGAAAATGAAATGAAATTACTCTAAATATAAAGGGAAGCCTCTGGAGGGTTTTAAGCAGGGGAGTGACAAGATATACTTAAAAGAACGACTCCAACTGCTTTGTGAGAGGGACAAGAGTAGAATTAGGGAGACCAGTTAATAAACTATTATATAGGGCAGGTAGAAGATAATGCTTCCTAGGCCTCCAGGTAGGAAGGAATAGTTGTGGTAGTACAATGTTAACGATGCAACAACTAGAAGTCAGAGGAATTATTTAAAAAGATACCACAGAGCTGTCATGAGGATCAGATGAACTGGAATTCCAGGCAATGGCCTCTGAGGTAGCTGATACTGTTTTCTTTCCTTCTCCTATAATGTTGTGGTTTTTAGGGACAAGGTTCCACTAGAAGTAGGTGGTATACCTCAAACACATGGCTGATTTCCTCTTAAAGATATATGCCATATTTTGAAACTATAAGGGGTGAGAGGTAATAAAACTAAGCCCCAGACCTCTCAAGGATAGGACAGTCTCCTGCAGTGTTTCAGAGCTAAGGAAATAGAAATTAGGTTCTCAATCAAGAGTGCAAGAGGGCCTGTGTCCAAGAAACAAGGACAAACCATAGGCATCAAGGATAAACCAAGGCACAATCGAGACATGGTCTAACTCAGTCCATAATTAGATTGAGGTGATCAGGGCCTTATCTTATTAGCCTACCAGAGGAAAGGAAGAATTATTTCTCATGGAAGATACCAGCTGGAGCCTCAGTAGTTCTTTTAGTATAAAATGTCTGGCATACTACAAAAATTATCAGATATAACAGAGTCAAGACAGTATGATCAGTAATCAAGAGAAAATACAGGTAATAAAGAGAGACCCATATATTATCCAAATAATGGAACAAATACACAGATTTAAAAAAATCATAATTAAGGTGTTAAAATGTAAGAAAATATGAACAGAATGTAAGAAAAAATAGATAGTACCCACAGAAAATCTATATAAAAAATTAAATGGATATCTTATAACTAGAAAATACAGTATTAGGAAGAACTCACTGTATGAGTTTAAGGGCAGACAAGAGCCTACAGAAGGGATCAGTAAACTTGATGAAAAAAATAGAAAACATCCCAAAGCACAGTGAGAAAATATGGAAAAATATATTAGAGCATTAGAGGTAAGCAGACACAGTCAGTAGCTCCAAAATATGAGTGGCTGTAATCCCAGAGGGAGAAGACAGAATGAAAAAAAAACCAATATATGAAAAGATAACAGCTGAGACTTTAATGAAAGACATCAACCTACAGATTCAGGATGCTTATGAATTCAGCAATCCATAGCAGGAAAAATACAAAGAAAACTATACCAAAACATGTAATCATCAAACTGCTGAAAATAAAAAAAGATGAAATACAGATTAAATAAAAGACAGGGAAGAAAGACAAAGATACATTTTAAAAAGCAGTCAGAGAAAAAAGAAGCATTACCCTTACAGGAGCAGCAATAAGACTGATAGCTGGCTCTTTAATAAAACTGGGCAAGCAAGAAGCAATAGAAGAGTATGCTTACAGGGCTAAAAGAAAGAAACTATCAAAGAATTATGTACCCAGTGAAAATATCCTTCAGAAATAAAGGTAAAATAATGAGATTTTCAGATAATCAAAGCTGAGAGCATCTGTCACCAGCAGACCTAACTACAGGAAATGAAAAGGAAGTTCTTCAGGCTGAGAGAAAGTAATTTCAGATGGAAACATGAAACTACAGGAAGGAATGAAGAACACAAGAAAGGGTAGATATGTGAGCTGATACAAAAGGTTACTGATTATTTAAAACAATAAAACTGGCTTGTGTCATTTATAATATATGTATTAATATGTTATATCACAGCAATAGCACAGAGGATAAAGGTGGAGAGTAAATGGAGCCAAACTTTGGTAAGAGTTTTACATATCTGGGGAGTGGTTAAAGCACTTATTTAAGGTAGATTTTAATAAGTCCAACATGCATATTTGCATAGGGCAATCAAGGAATTATCAGTGATAAGAATGTAACTAAAAAGCTGAGGGGAAAGAAGTAGAATAATAAAACATACTTGGTTAATCCAAAAAGAAGGCAAGAAAGGAGGAATAAAGAAATAAGGAAGAACTTGGACAAATAGAAAACAAAAAAGCAAAATGCAAAATGTAGACTTAAACCCAAATACATAATTACATTAAATAAGGGTGGATTAAGTAAAACAACTAATAGGAATAAATAAACCAGACCAAAAAAACCCTAGAACTCAATTATATTTGTTTATAAGAGGGCCCTGAAATATAAAGACACTCAAAATATAAAAACACAGGAAGATAAAAGCAAACAGATAAAACAAATATACTCTATAAACACTAACTAAAAGAAAACTACTAACATGGATAAATCAATTAACCAACCATTAACTGACATGTATGCCCAATTAATATAGAATGAGGACAGACAACTTCATCATAGATCCATCAGACATTAGGAAGAGAACAGGATAGTATAAATAACTTTATGCCAATAAATATGAAAATTGAGATAAAATGCTGCTCAAGACCAACCTGGGCAACACTGTGAGACCCCATCTCTACAAAAACAAATTAGCTGAGCACACTGTGTGCCTGTAGCCCTAGCTACTAGCGAGGCTGAAGTGGGAATATCTCTTGAGGGCAGTTTGAGGTTGCAATGAGCTATATCACGCCACTGCACTTGAGCCTGATTACAGAGTGTATACTTCATCTCTTAAAAAACAAAACAAAGCAAAAAATACCACTGACACAAGAAAAAAGAGAATATAAAGAGCCTTATACATAATAAAAAATTGCAACTGCAATTAAAAATCTTTCCACAAAGAAAATCCCATGCCTAAATGGCTTCATTGGTGAATTCTAGCAAACATTTAAAGAAATAACAAATCTTGCAAACCCTCTTTTGAAAAATAGAAGAGTGAACACTTCCCATTTCATTTTATAAGGCCAGCATAACCCTCATACCAAAACATGACAAACATATTATAAGAAAAAAAACTATAGACTAATATAGCCCTTATGAACATAGATGCAAAATCTTTAACAAGATATTTATAAATTAAATCAAGCTCTCTCTATACATGTATATTAGATATATATCTCCTATATATCATAACATGCAGAATAATATATCATAACTAAGTGAGATTCACTCCAGAAATACAAAGGTTGTTTAACAACAGGAAATAAAATCAGCTGAACACATACATTCTCTAAATGAAAGAGAAAACCCATGTATCATCTCAATAGATGCAGAAAGAGCATATGACAAAATTCAACACCAATTCATAAGATCTGTCAATAAACTAGGAATAAAAGAGAATTTCCTTAATCTAGATAAAGGCATCTATAAAAAACCTATAACCAACAGCATTCTTAATGGTGAAATATTGAACACTTCTTATTGAATTATGGGATAAAACAAAATAGCTACTATCACCACTTCTATTCAACATTGTATTGGAGGGCTGATGCAATAAGAAAAGAAAAAGAAGTAAAATCTATAAATGTAGATTGCAAGGGAAGGAGCATTACTTGTACATGACAAGATTATTTGACATAAATATTCCTCCCTA